TGTGTGAGGCAGTCTTGTAAAAATCAAGGCTCCTCAAAGGAACAAAAAGAGTGTTCCCTAGCATGCAACATCACAGGTATATGACTTGTCATTGCTAGAATTTACCTTGGAGAAAATCTCTTTTTCCCTCATTATTTTACAGCAAAAAATGAGGTGTCTGTGTAATTTCTGGATAAAAGAATGAGATTTAGTTATTATCCTTAAAAATGACGAATCACAAAATTTTCAATATATTAGCTATCTCCCATTGCATAAATATTTTTCTTCTGTGTTATTAAGTTAAACAGTAACATTTTGCTAGGGACCATGTTATTTATTCAACAACTACTGTAAACCGTAATGACAGTAATTGCTATCATTTATTGAGAACTCCCTGTATGCTAGGCACAATTCTAAATATTTTCCACATATCCCATTTAACCTCAAAATAAGGCTTCATAGGAATTTTCATTCATATTTTATGCCTAAAGAAACTAAGGATCAGGTCACACTGAAAGTTAAGATGCAGAGTTACAATTGTAACTCAGAGTCATAAACCTACTTGCAATTATTTATTCTAAATATAGACTGTGAACACCCACCAAAGAATATTAAATGCCAGTAAGGAGTATAGGTGCTTCGGGACTCTTGCTGCACACATCTACTTCCTTGCCAACGAATGTATTTCTCCATTAAATAAGACCACCTAAAATGGGGGCCAGGGCATCTGACCACAGTTAAGTTTATTTCTGCATTCACCACCTACGTTCTCTATAATGTGAGAATATAACCAGTATTCATACTGCACAACTATAGAAAAAATTTTGATAAAAGACTGAACTGATTTAAGGGCCTCGGTACAAGAACTTGGTGTCTGTTTTTACTCAGATTATGGGTAAACTGAAATGAATCCCCAACAGCAGAACTGCCACCGTTAGCAGATCTACCTTTTCAGAAAGTGAGACATTACAGACTCGACATGGACAGTGATAGAGAAAACTAACCTGTTTTCCAGAGGCTAATCATAGGGAGGTGGTGGTCGGGGCCAAACCTCCAGGAATCGCAAACCCATTCTGTTTCAGCTCGTTAATGCTTCTAGTCACCTCCAGAAACATGTGCACATTCCACAGTATTGTGGGGAGTCTTGGGTTGGCTGATAGAAAACAGGTGATTGGCTACAAAAAAACTGACTCAAAGATAAAATAAAACAACAGAATGTGCCTTCCCGTGCTGCAGGGCCTCTTGTGGTGACTCTAGGTGGATCCTACTGGAGCAGTGATGGAAATACTGCCATTTAGTGACGCTCAGGGAGAAGAGCGTGGCAGCCTTGTGGTGCTAGTCACAGCCAGCACGTCCAGTTTGAACCCGAGCACTGGGGCTTCCCTCTTCTTCCTGATGGAAAATGCAGTAGAATTTTTAACTTTGATCTGGGTGTCTGGCTTCTTCAGCAAAGGGCTCTTCAATTTCACATTTCATCTCAGCAGCTAATGTCCACATCTCGTCAAATTGCCACCAAGAATGTACCACAGGGCAGTCCCTGAACAAAACCGTGATGTTCCGTGAGAACTTGTGATTTGAGGGTTCAGTGACTATAATGCTACCCAATGAGCTGTCCCCAAGTTATTAGAAGGGGCTGCCGCTCCCCTTAAAGGACATCCCATTTTCTCTTCTTCAACAGTCATTGTGCTAAACTTTTTTCTACCAAGCTCCTGGTTTCAATTGAAAATATCCTATCACTGTTTTTATGCCTTGAAAAACTGGTGGAACTCATTTTGATAATGAGACCCTGGAAGATGGCAACAGAAGTCTGTGTTTTCTTTCTGATTGTTTTCTTGCTGATAGTTTTATTGCCATTCTCTTCCCTGTTGCTAATGGTGTTGAGGCTGTTGATCTCACTTCAACTATTTAATGAAAAAGGAGGTTAGAAGGATTTTTAATATGTTTTTTCCCCCAACTTCTTCATGATTGGCAAAAAAGGGGGGAAAAACCAAAACAAAACACTGTAGAAATCACAAAATGCAGAAGTTCACTTGCACAAGTATTTAGATAAAAAGTACTTTGTGGGTAGTTTTACAATTGTAGGGGCCGATTAAAGTTAAGTTGGTAGGTCTTGGTATCTTGTACTTGGCAAGATATGGACTCTGCTTTCCACATGCCATTTCATCAAAAAGCTATTTAAATTTTAAAGTAAGTTGTCAATCTCCTTGATCTGAAGGTCGTGAAATTTAGTCATCTCTTTGTATTGCACCATCCAAAATAAGTTTTGACTCTGAATCCCTGTAGTCTCAACTTTGAGTCCCCTTTAAACTATAAGAAAATTAAGATCCTCACTACAATAAAATGAGACCTTACTCGGCAGTCTATTTGCCAATGAGATTACCACAGATTTACTGATCAACCAAATAGGTTGGATCACTTTAAAATGTCAATGATCTAAAGCTTAAAGAGCATCATTTTGTAAGTGGTATCATTCTGAAATATTAAAACATCTAAAATGAACAATTCAGAACTTAATTTGTTCAAGTGAATATTATTCCCTTCAGAACAGTTATCTTGGAAAGCGAAGTGCCAGTAATTCCATTGCTTATAAGTAGTTTGAGAATTGTCTTTAGTCCATTGGGGAACTAATAAAACTGGTCTCAATATTTTTAGTCTCTCTTTTTTAAACTCTAAATAGCATAATCCATCTACATCATTCACTTATTCTCAGACCTGGTATTAATTTTTTTGTGGTGGGGACCCAAAAGTTAAACTTAAAGGACAAAGATTTGTTGCCATCAGAGATATTTAAAAGAATGTGCTAACAGGTTTTTAGGACAATTCTAAAAAGGAATTTCCAAAGTATGTTTTTTTTAAGCCGTGTCAGCACAATTTAGAACTGTGCAGTTTCTCAAGGTGAGTGACTTCAGGGGGCTACCTCTTACCTTTCTTCTAGTCCTGCGTCTTTGTGGCCTAGTTTTGGCTCTGTTAATGGCAGGCTTGTGACCTTGTATAAGCTGCTTTAGTTTCCTCATCTGAAAAATGATGGGAAGGCTAGATGCCTGCAAAGGATCTTTCCAGTTCTATCATGCCAGGATAATCACACAACATTCCCTAGACTTTGATTAAAAGTCACTGTAGGCCACCATACCTTCAATGTATTGTCATATTAATAATTGAGGATGTTTCTTCCATAGTCTGTTTTCTTCTCACACTAGTATGTTAACATTTTGTGCCATTTGGGGGCAAGAACAAAGTTTTTATTCATTTGAATTGGGGGTATTGTGGATATGTAAAAATTTTTATTGCAGATCAGAGGATGTATTTACCTTGTGTGTATGTGTGTGGGTGGGTGGGGGTTGCAAAGAATACCATGCTTTGATATTGAGTTATTTTGTAAGTCATTCTGTTTTTAATTCCTACAGAAGACTGATATTTTCAAACCAGATACCCTTGTTAGATGAGCTTGTTATGTTAAACAAAATCTACCAACACACCTGATTCTTATTATGACATTAGTTTCTCATGTCATTTTAGCAGTAATCTGACTGACTATATTTTTATAAAGCTTGGCCCTTCCCTTTTCTGCTGGTGTTGCAGAAGTTGCCGACCTTAAAGGTAAAATGATGGTTAAAATATACATTCTGTGAAATGTTGCCAATTGCAGGTATTCACAGGACATGTCTGGTTCTATTTAGGTGTTTGGGTTTTTTCCTTTTTTCTTTTTTTAGTATCTTGGACTTACAGGCTGGTCTTTTTCATAAGAAATGTCAGCAAAGTCTGTGAATTAATGAACTGTGAAGTGCTCAAAAAACATACCATTTCAAAAAGTATCCTGCAAGGATATAACACTAATGGGAGGTGACCCTTGAGTTACAACCAAACATCCCACTCTAACTAAAAAGAATTAAGATAACAACTGGCTCAGGCACACACAATGTCTTTGAACAAAGACCTAGACAGAAAGCAGAAGTGATGAGGAGTGGGGGAGGTCAGAACTCGAGTAGCAATCTGGGGAAACGTGTTTATGTTAGAGTCTCTTTAGCTCTGTTGAGCACTTCCGTCAAATAATGGAATTATACAAACCCCCCTATAAAAGATACCAGGTGGAGAGAGAGCAAAGAGAACGGAGCAGGGGAGGTATGCTCAGAAGGTTGATTAAATAAACCTAAATTGTAGGTCCTTGGCTACACCTAATGTACGTTTTGTTTAATTTAGCTATTAAAAAAAAAGGCAGTGTAACTCCTTCAATCTTTTTGCAATTCTGCATGGTTGAACATTTGAAATGAGTTTGTGTATCACCCCCAGGCGCTGATTCAGACTTGATTGGGGCAAAGCAGATTGCATGTGCTTATTTTTATCCACGTCATTTGGGACGTTATGTCGCCAAAGGAACCAAAAATGTGCTGCTCTATTGCCAAATTATCACCTATTCTTTGACCAGACAGGGCAGCAATCCTCCCTCAACAAGTTGTGCGACCTTAGTGTAACAGCAATGTCAGGTCAACTTGAGAAAGTGAAGAGAGAGCCCTAAACACAAATAAAAAGAAACAACCAACAATCCTTATAATTATCATCATCTGCTGCTTTTCCCTCTTTTGGCAAAGAAACACTCCATCCATTTGCAGAAATCGCCCGCGGAAACGTTACATCAAAACTAATCACAACGATTAAAATCAGCTTTTCTGTGCAAGAGGAGGGTAAAGCGCAAGTTGGAGGCTGGAATAAGGCTGTTTTTCCACCCAAAAAAATCTGGGGGGAAAATTTCCTATATGTATATTTATCTATACGTATGTGTAGACCTTTATTTTTGAAGGAGATCAATTGTCTGCCCTGTGATCAGTTAATTTGATTTAAGTTTTATTTTGGAGATTGATTTAGACTGGAGGTAGAGGCATGAGCTAATTGTATCCTGATCCTTGCCTTGAGGGGTTTCAAAGCCCTGGAGCAACTCTTCTCTGTATTTTGTTCTGTCTACCTTAGCCAAGCTATTGCATTTCTCTCTGGTGTGGCGAGCCGAGCAGATCGCTGGGAGAGAAATCGGAAAAGGGGGGAGAGGAAAAGGAAAAGGGGACTTGGAGAGAGACTTTGTGCTTCAATGTTTCAGGTAAGATCTGACGGTTTGGGTTTGTTATTATTTGCTAAGGAGGGTATGGCTGGGACTTTGGGCGCAACTCGCTTTTACGCATGTGCCAGGCATGGGGCGAGAGCGCGGCACACTCGCACACACACAGCCCGCCGCGGCGGCTCGGGACCCGCTCGGCCGGCGGCCGGCTCCTCCGGGGCTGCGCCTGCCCGTT